TGATTCCATCAAGGGGCATTAGGCAAGGGGACCCTCTGTTCCCTTACCTGTTTATAATAGTGGCAGAGCTTCTCTCAGCTCTAGTTGTGAACTCTATTGAAAATGGGAGGCTTAAAGGGATGAAAATTTCAAGAAATGGACCTTTGTTATCTCATTTGTTGTTTGCAGACGATTCCTTGTTTTTCTGTAGAGCAGGAACAGATCAAACCACTATTCTGTTGAATTTACTGGAGAAATACAAATTATTCTCTGGGCAAGCAGTAAATCTTCAGAAGTCAGCCATATTTTTCAGTAGGAATACACCCCAGCACATCAGGTCCTCCAAGCCTTGCTAAATGGTATCACCTCTCACAGGTCTACCAGGTATCTCAGTTTGCCCCTTAGAATAGGTAAAGCAAAAAAAGAAGTTTTTGACTACCTTCTTACTTCAGTTAGGAACAAGCTGGACAGTTGGCAATCTAAAATGTTAAGCACTGCTGGAAAGGAGGTGATGCTTAAAGCAGTCATCCAAGCTTTGCCAATTTTTCCCATGTCTTGCTTTAAGATCCCTTTAACTCTTTGTGCTGAAATTTCCAGACTATGTGCTCAATTTTGGTGGAAAACAGGCTCTGATCAAACTCATGGGATCCACTGGAAAAAATGGGCATGGTTGTCTCTTCCTAAACAACATGGAGGGTTAGGTTTCTTGGATTTGCAGTTGTTTAACAAAGCTTTGATATGTAAACAATTATGGAGGGTGGATTCTAATCCAGATCTTTTAGTCAGCAGATTGCTCAAGGACAGATATTTTCCTCACACCTCTATTGTCCATGCTCAAAAAAATTCAAGGGGGATCTTGGATGTGGAACAGTTGGATGGATGTTTTACCTGTATTTTCTAAATGGCTAAGAATAGAAGTGAGGAATGGACTCAATACAAGAATTGATGACTTCAACTGGGTCCCAAATCTAAATAAGCCTGCACCTTCTCTAATTCCAATAGCCAGAGGACATCTCTTATGGGTGAAGGATTTAATGCAGACCAATGGGAAGCAGTGGAATGAATGGTTAATCAACCAGGTGTTTGATGCTGTTGAGAGCAAAGCCATACTTCAAATTTCATCTATCAATCCTAACAAGAGTGACAGACTATTCTGGGGGTTGGAAAAAAAAGGCTTCTTCTCTGTCTCCAGTACCTACAAGCATCTATCTTCTATAAAATTCTTGGAGGCAGATTTCCCTGAAAGCAGCACTTCCGAATTTGAGTTGGATTTTTCGTTTATAAAAGCTGTTACTAGTTCCGACTCCCCGGCCTAGTAATCAAACCCTTTGAATAATAGGGCCGGGGCTTGGGATTTACGAATCAAACCCCCCAGCGCTTTCTGGATGTAGATCATGATATCTATACAGATGGATCTTATATATATCCCAGGTTAGTCCCCTAAGTCTGCTCCGGAGAACCTTCCACTTGACTTTACTGACTTGACTTTCATCTTCCTTAGCCCAACCCAACAAGGGCAGCTGCTAACTGAAGTGTTCAAAATGTTTGGTTGCAAATCTGTTGCTACTCCACTACCCCAGGTTAAACTGGTGCTTGCCGTTGCACCAGGCCTTCCTTCTTCGGGCTTCCTATCCCTTTCTCTTGTCCCCGGAACCTCGCATTCTCCCACCACTTGATGGTGTGGTTTGCGGCGTACCGGTCTCCACGCGTATAAGGATCATCTTCCATAGTTTCGATCAAAAGTATCAAATGAAGTCCAGAGTTTAGTCCTAAAAAATATCATCGCTGGAACCCTGGGAAAGCTCGTACACTAACTTCTCCCATGTGTATCCATTTGGCTGTTCGTTCTTTTAATATAGTATATCGCAGCTAAAGCACTCCATGGAACAAATTAAGCTTGCTTTTCGAGTGCAGCTGCAGACTTTGTGTGGGCCTGGTAGGAGGGTGTATCGTGGTGTGGCTTGGAGTCAATGTATGGAAGACGGATTATTTTGTATTATCAAGGGAAACCGATGACTTGATATAAATTTGATCGCCTAAAGTCTCAGGTTCCGGTAAGATGGTACCTGGGTTGTTTTCAGGAGTCTAGCTCGCGTTCTGGTTCATTTGAGAATATCTTCTTTTAAAAACGCAGCAGCCTGCGCTCAGGTCCTCGCCACGCCGAGCTTCGCCCCAACTTTAGAGTACAAAAAGCTCACGCCCTTCTTTATCCCTAAAGATAGGGTGTCCTATCTTCTATAAAGATTAGCACCAGGTTCAGATATTGGAAATGCCTGTCCAAATGCATCCCAGTTTCCTTGCAGCTGAGGAGGAGAGGTATGGACTTGGATACTACTTGTATTTTCTGTGGTGAGGAGCATGAATCTTTAGAGCACATTTTTTTCAAGTGTCCAAGGGATAGAAGGTGCTGGGATCTCAGTCCTGTGCAGTGGGATGGACTTGCAGGTTTGACTGATTCTTTTCCAGACTGGTGGTACTCTGTGTGCTCCTTGGACAAATCAGAGGTAGCCGAAGCTCGCATCCAACTCTCCACATATTTACTTTGGTGGCTCTGGAAGTCCAGGAACCTCTGGATATTCCAAAAGACCTTGATCCCTGAGCAGGTGCTAGTGAATATGGCCCATGTTGAGTGGCTGGAGTATTCTGCTGTGCATAGTTAGCTGTTGCTGTCTTTTGTTTTGTTCTTGGATTGTTAGTGTTTGCTGTTTTATTTGTAGTTTTTCTTTGGGGAAGGATTTCCTTAGCTAGGCTTATGCAATGGTTGCGGGTCCTTTCTTAGTTTGTTTTTCTTGGTGTTTGAGGGCTTTGTTGTTCTGTGTTGTTCTGTGAGGCTTTAGACCGCCTGTAGCGTGTCTCTCAAGTTTTTATTTCTGGAGGTTGGCATTTGTATTCGAACGGTGTTCGCTATTTTGTTTTAATAGTTAATTCTGTCGTTTTGGAAAAAAAAAATAACATTGACATTCAATGTTCGTTCAGTTTCTTCTCTTGGTTTTTTGTGGGTTGCTGATGTTATTTCTTTGTTCTGAAGTGATGAAACAGATGAATGTTTGCCAGATCTATTTCCATTGCATCATCACTAAAAGCAAGTGCTTTTTTCGCAGCTGGTTTTATGTTATCTGTTTCTTCCTTCACCTCTTGACCAATTGTTTCCAAAAATATGCATGTAGTTGGACTGAAGAACTGTTTTTTTGCCATGGGGCCAATGGTTTGAACTGAAGAGCTGCCCGACTCTATGTTGGAAATTGACTTTCCTTTGGAAATATATTTTTCTTGATTGACAGGGGTTATTATTGAGAAGTTTGATAATAATTTTAACGTTTAAATCAATTTTCACACAGTGCAAATATGAGCTTAAGAGCACCAACATATTATTTGGACCTCAGAATTGGATTAAGGGCATGTAATTAAAAAACTAAGTGCAAATTACATGGTAGAGGAAAAAATGTAATACAATGTAAACTTAAGATCACTTATTTGTAAACCTGCTAGTGGTAGTAGGAGAGACCAAAGCTCTTCAATGATGTACACGTGTGGCTTATGTGCTTTCATTCTCATGAGTTTAATGATGTTTATAGTGCTCCAAGGACGTGACGACTCGGGCTTTTTGAGCATTGGGCCTAACTGTGAGCCAAGCTAACTCTGCTCGATTACTTAAATAATGTATCCGTTCATTAACGTAAACATTATTTAACTCCCTTATCATCTCTGACATTATATTCGAGACTCCAATAAAAATTACTCAAATTAGGTCCTCACGTTTAAGATATAATTTTCATTAATTAATTCGATTACTCATAACTAAGAATTAATTAATATCTTGTAAACTGAAGCTAGCACAACTCATCCTATTATCATTATGTCGAAACTTAATCCACCTTCAAGGTTTAACATAATAATCCTTCATGAGCTCAATTCGGCTAATGCAATGGTGACCGTAAATATTCTAACAACACATCGTACATGCATCACTATTACCCAAATCTTCAAGACTATCAATCCAACAGAATCAATCTCATTTTTAGTGAATCAAAGTAATAACTATTGTATGCACATGCTTCTTTATATCTTACGAGTTAAAAGAACACAATAATTAACCGAGGCCTAGTTCATTTGTGACGATCAGTGTAAAACGAACTGCTTCTCTTTGGGATCCTGTTCAATACATAAATGTACTAGTGCAACTAATCAGTCAAGATCAACTATACGGTTGACACTACAACCGTTCTGATGGTTTGTTCATTTACATTTACGTTGTGAACCAATTATTCTTGTTTTGCAAGTAACTGATAAAATGATCTTCTGTTCACCTGCTAATGAACTATTTTATCTAAGTGTAAAACAACAGAACATATAATTTGTTTAATTAAACACAATTCTCATTCAACACCAACCAAGTGTAAATATCATCCAAAACTAAGTTTTCAATATATATACCAACAAAAGCATCTTCACAGGGGAAGCCGAATCCTCACTGGACTACCCTCAGCATCCCAGGTGCCGCTCCGAGCCACAGGGGACAGAGGCCCGGCTGGAGAGATGGCTCACAAAGGAGAAAGCCGCGATGGTCGCCGAACTGATTAAGAGAAATGACTACATTGTTTTTTCTCCGAGTTCAACGTCCCTCTCTATTTCTCAATTGGCACATGAATATCAAGGTTGACTACAATAAATTAGTCAATAAATACAAACGCTTGATAAAAAAAAAAAACATCCATCCAATCCTTAAAAAGTATACATTCATGAACAGGATATAATTTAATGTCAACAGTACACTTGTATTAACTCGATCTTATCATGTTCCAAGATACAGGATATAATTCAATTTAAATTGATTGAAATGCTATGAACTATGTTTATCTGGTACTTTCAATTATTATAGTCGGCGCGGCTCAAGTGCTCATCTCATCTCATCTCATCTCATCTACCGTTGGTTGTGCGAGCTTCAGAAATCCCGTCCAAAAGCACAAAATACATCCTGAGCTGAAATAAGAAGAATGGCTGATCGCTTTTTCCTCAACACAATGCCTCGTGAATCTCCAACATCACAGCCATCTTCTACCTCTGATTCCCTCACAAAGCTTCTCCACCTCCCCTACAAAACCCTATCTCAGCTGCTCCTCAAAGCAGCTTTGGACCTCAAAGACGCTGTAACTTCTCAATCATCATATGCATTAAAGCATTTTTTTTCCCCACTCTTTTATCATACAGGTTGTTGTTTTGCTTTGGATTTAGGTGGTGAAGGAAACATGGGTTGCTAAAGGAAAACGTGTTGGTGATTACAGTCTCTATACTGGGGCTCTTGGGACTGCCTTCTTGTTGTTTAGAGCTTACCAGGTTACAGGCGACAACACTGATCTTGCTCTTTGTTCTGATATCATTAAGGCCTGCGATTCTGCGTCCCGCAGCTCCGGGTATGTAACTTCACCTCTTTGTGTGGGAAGGGTTGGAACTTTTTAAAGTAAGATAGGTCCAGTTATCTATTTGTTTTATCTTCAAATACTCAGGTTTCCTTAAATTTTCCTTAAATTTACGGGGTGGTTGTTTTTATTGTCTTCTTACTATATTTGGAATGATATAAGCCTTTTGAGTTGATGTTGGAGATCAATGGGTGTGGGTTATGGTTGAAAAATGGCTGAAATTGTTGTTTTCGAATTTCTCTGCCATTATTAGAGCCATGTTGCTTCAACAGAAGTAGTTTAAAATGAAAGAGGCAAAGAAGAACACTATCGATGCCAATGGATTTTGTTCATTGCGTGTAGGTAATAGTGTAGTCACTCGATAAGCATGACTCGTATGTTCCTCCAATTATAATGGGTGTTAATGATTATTACAAGTCAATGAAGGCGCAGTTGATCAATCATGCTTCTCATTTGGCAAATATATGCACCATAAGATTTTTTATACCAAATAGTTTATTGTAGGCGTGTCACTTTCATATGCGGACAAGCTAGTGTATGCGCTCTTGGTGCTGTAGTAGCACATCACAAGGGTGATGAACAATCATGCCAGCAATACATAACACGGTTCAGAGAGGTAGTTGATGACGAAACAATGTCTAATATGGTTCGTGCTCCACATAATCCACGATTTCTTAACCCATTCTTTTCTGTGGTTTGCTGCTTTGCATTTTCCTTTTGAGTTCAGATTAAGCTTCCCAAGGATCTTCCAGATGAACTGTTGTATGGCAGGGCTGGGTACTTGTGGGCAGCTGCTTTCTTGAACAAAAATATCAGTAGAAGCCCAATATCCTCCACTAGGATGGTTTGTATTTTTCTTTCCTTCCTTATAGTAAAGTAATTTTGATTTTTTTTTTTTTTGCTAAGCTTGACATAGAAATCCTTATTTAACTGAGAAATAAATCTATTCAGAGGACAGTCGTCGATGAAATTATAGACTCAGGACGAGAACTGGCCAAGGGAAAATGCCCATTGATGTTTGAATGGCATGGTAAAAAGTATTGGGGAGCGGCCCATGGGGTGGCTGGTATTTTGAATGTGTTAATGGATATGGATCTAAGCCAAGATGAGCTGGACGCTGTCAAGGAAACATTACGTTATATGATTGAGAATCCTTTCCCGAGTGGAAATTACCCGTCAAGTGAAGGAAGTGAAACAGATAGGCTTGTACATTGGTGCCATGGGGCTCCAGGTGTTGCCCTTACACTTGTTAAAGCATACAAGGTAGAGGATATAAGTACTTACCTTTTTCTTTTTCTCCTCTTTATTGTATCTACTAACCACATTTCCTGATCTTTTATGATATGTTGTACTTCCTGGACAATGAAAAGGTCAGTCCCTTAAATCGATATTATTTAGGTTAGATAGTACTTATGATCTTGAATCTGTTGATTCTGTTTGCTATCTTTAAAATGAAGTGTTATGTTGTATAAAAAGTGGATCTGTTAGCCACAGTATTCGTCCAAGAGCGAGAAAAAGAAGGTTATACTTTAGGTAGCATCTAAGGATTTGCTAATATATGAGTTGGTTTAATTGCAAAACCATCCAAATGATTTGACCTTGGAACAGAGAAAGTTCAACGTGTATTGAAATTTCAGATACCCTCTTGTATTTATGTCTACTTCACAAATTGCTGCGTCAAGGGGGAGTGTTCTCACGAAAAAGCAAACCTTGTGTTACAGTGAATTAAAAGAAAAGGGAGAAGCTAACTCAAAACTGTGACCTCCATGTCATCATCAGGTTTATAGATGTGAAGAGTTTCTGCAAGCGGCAGTTGATGCAAGTGAAGTGGTCTGGAATCGAGGCCTTCTCAAACGAGTTGGGATTTGTCACGGCATAAGTGGGAATGCGTATGTTTTTCTTTCATTGTACCAGCTAACAGGTAGACCAGAGTTTTTATATAGGGCCAAAGCATTTGCTTGTTTTCTTCACGACCGGGCTCAAAGACTGATATCGGAGGGGGTCATGCATGGAGGAGATTCTCCATATTCACTGTTTGAAGGTATTGGTGGAATGGCTTATCTGTTTCTGGATATGATTGAACCTTCCCAGGCTAGGTTTCCTGGTTATGAGCTTTAATTTACTCTTTATTTTTATTTTATTTTATTTTTTTTTTT